CCCCCCCCCCTGCAGCCGGGGGACCAGGCAGGGAAGGAGCCTGACTGCTGGTGCCCCTGTCCTGGCAGCCTGACCCCCACCCCCGTCGCCCTCAGGTCTCCGCCAGAGCGTCTGAAATTCCCCCTGGACGCGATGCCCCTTATCTTCTCAATTCCCCCATCCCGCCCCTCACCTCGCCTTCCTGCCGCTTTGTGTTCACGTGTGCAATTGTCCGATGTGTTTTCTCCCCGAGAGGCTCCGTCCCCAGACTCAGGGCCCTCTCCGCATCCCCTGCCTTGGCCCTGCATCTGGCACGGAGGGGGCGCTCCGTAACTGTCCGTGGGGTGCATGAATGAGCAGGGAACGGCTCCTCCTAACCGAGCATCTCGTAGGCACTCGGCCCCGTGCAGGAGGCCACTCGGTTCCTCCTCACTGTCACCCCGTGGGAGGGAAGCCCAGGCACAGGAAGGCTGGATGGACGGTGGCCAGGTGTGCAGCCAGCACCCGAGCCCCGCTTCGCCTGAAGCCAGCTCTTCCCCACCTTGAACCTCGACACCCCACTGCTCTGAAGGAGGCAGCCATGCGGCTTCTTAGTAATGACCAAGTCAGGTGCAAGAGAAGAGGAGGGGAGAGAGCCGGCGGAGGACTCACTCTGGGCGGGGAGCACTGCTAAGGGGTTTCGGGCGCGCAGTCCCCTTTGGGCCGTTCTCATCTTTCCGAGGTGCAGACTGCGACCCAGAGAGGTCTAGTGAACTGCCGGAGGGCACACAGCTTTGCACACTGCAGAACAGATAAGCCTATTTCACCACGCCCTGTAGCCACAGAAGCCCCTAATAAGTCCCAAGTTTATCCCCCCTTTATCGGAGCTGGTCTCCCAGTCCGGGTTGGGCAGCGGCTGCAAACTACAGCCCACTTCCAGCCTGCGGCCTGTTTCGCAAATAAAGCATTTTTGGCACACGGCCGCGTCCATTTGTCCCCAGGGTACTCACGGCTGCATCCTCACACTGCAAAGGAGGAGCAGACTGGCTGCAACAGAGACCAGAACTATTTACGTGTCCCCGCTTGCAGAAGAAGTTCATAGGCCTTGGGGCTTGTGACATGGCTGCCCTTAATTTACCTAAAAGCCACAGGTGGCTAACTCCACCACGACTCCTCTTTTCTCGGGAGGGCTCCTCGCCAGGGAAAGGGTGTTCGTGATGCCTTGCCTTCCAGAAGTTCCAGAAGCATCACAGCCACACCCTCATCTCCCACCCCCAGCTGGAGTGCTCTGCTTAAGAACTCCAGCTTCCCCTGGAAAGGAAGCCCCATTGCTGTGCTCCCCATTTACTCCATTCATGCACTCACTCGCTCAATTCCACGTTGACCATCTAATGCTCAAGCCCCCACTCAGCACTGAGGACAAAGCAGTGAACAAAAGAGAAGGCCCCTGCCCTCATGGAGCTGATATCTGAGGGGGGAGAGACAGATGACAGAAAGGAGAAAGTAAATACCAAAGAAGTTGGGATGACAGCAAGCCCTACGGAGGAAATTAGAAAGGGTAACAATACACTCCTCGGGTGGGGAGGAGTGGAGCAATTTCAAGTACTGTGGTTGGAAAGAGTGTTTCCAAGGAGTCAGTGCTTTTGAGATGGGAAGAAGGAAGCCAGTCAGCCGAAGATGCGAGGAAAAAACATTCCAGGCACGGGGACCCACAGGTGCAAAGGCCCTGAGGTAGGAGCATGGTCATAGTAGGCCACTGTGGCTAGAGGACGGTTCCACGTTGCAGAATGCTAGGAAACAAAGCTGGAGAGGGGCCAGCAGGGCTCCTTGTGGGGCCTGGCAGGGAACCTGGCTTTTCATTCAACGTAAAGCCGGAAGTCTCTCAGAGGTTTAAGAAGAGAGGAGTGCTGCGGCCCAATTTACACTGTCAGACCTCTTCCGTGCTGTTACACGAGGCATGCGTTATAGAAGGGCAAGATTGGAGGTAGGGGCAAGTGGGGCAGGGGCCTGGGTGGGGACAGAGACCGTAGGGATGGAGAGATGCAGGTGAATTGAGCCTATGTGATAAAGGGAGAGCCAGCCTAATTTGCTTCTGGAAGGCATGAGGGAAATTAAGGCCGGCGTGCACTCAGAGGGTGGCATTGCCTCATGGTGATGAGGCCCAGGAAGCCGGGAAAAGCAGGTGGGGGCTGGGGAGGGGGCACAGAGGGTTTGAGACACCTATTAGGACTCCCCGTGGGATGTCAAGCAGATAGATCTATGAGTTCGGAGCTCAGGGGCAAAGTCTGGGCCGAGATATAAATTTGGAAGTCATCAGCATACAGATGATATTTAAAGCCTGCGACAGTTCACCACCACCCCCCCTTCCATAACTTAATCATTCACAGGACGGCACGTTTTCAAAAGAGCGGGGACCAGGAGAGCCCGTTGTCCCCACGCCAGCCCTTGCAAATAGGCCTTCTTGATCTTGGCCGTGAAGACATAATCATCCGGCTTTAAAAACCACAGTCGGGAAAGTTCAAGCAAGTATGTGAAGTCACAGAATTTATTATTCAAAATATCCCTTTGCTGTGTGGCTCTTTCCGGCTCCCCAGAGACCGAG